CATGGTGCTCAGGCCAAAGGACAAGTTGGGGAATTTAATTGGTTGTTTCCTTCTATCACAGGATCGAACTTAGGTTTGGCAGCAAGCACCTTTACCCCCTGGACTTCTCAAAGGTATGGCCTATAAAATCTAACTCTGAAGTGAGGCCAGATTTAATATAAATTCCCTGGTACTTGGCAATCACACAATTCAGAAATAAATTCCTGACTCAAACATTTTCCAGTTTTCCTTTCCAAACAAACAAACAAACACCAACAAAACTGGTTATGGTAATATAGGCCTGTACTCCCAGCACTCAAGAAATAGAGGCAGCAGGTTGAACGTCATCTTTAGCTAAATATTAAGGCCCACTCTCAAATTTGTTTTCTTTTTCAATCCATTTACTTTTGTTCCAGAAGAAATGTGGGAAACAGAGCTAGCCAATTTCACCTCTTCATTTCTGGCCAGTGTGCTATCTTAGGCAAATTCCTTAACCACATTTAAAACAGTATGGATACTATCTTGAAGGGTTCTTGTGAAGATTAGAGTTCCTGTTCCTAAAATGTCCAATAGTCTGATTGGACGTGGAATACTTTCCTAATGAGTGGTGGTTATTTTTATGTTGTTATTACTTACATTTTCTACTTCTACAATTTTTTACACTCATCTTCCTCTTCGTCCAATTGTATAGTGCTTTGTGTATAATTCTGTCCCTACAAGAAAATATGTAGAAGTCACAACCTCTAGAACCTTAGAATGAGATGCTATTTTAAAATAAGGTCATTATAGATGTAGTTTTCAGAACTCTCCCCGCCCCCCGACCCCATGCTAGAGATCAAACTTAGGGCCTCCCAAACACTAGGGAAGTACTCTAACATTGAGTTATATCCCCAACCAGAAGTGGTCATATCACAATTTCATTTGGCTCCCTAATCTGATTGGCATCTTTTGTTATTGTTGTTTTGTTTTTTGAGACAAGGTGTTTTCAGGGTTTCCCTGTGTAACAGCCCTGACTGTCCTGGAACTCACTCTGTAGACCAGGCTGGCCTCAAACTCACAGAGATCTGCCTGCCTCTGCCTCCCAAGCTCTGGAATTAACGATGTGCCACCATTGCCTGGCTCTGACTGGCATCTTAAAAAGAGAAGAAACGTGAATACAGATACACACAGAAGGAAGATGGATGTAGACACATAAGAAAGATAGCCATGTGACAAAGCAGAAATTGGAATGATGAATTAAACAAAGGAATGTGCGCCAAATCACTAGTAGAAAGGAACAGACAAGGGAAGACTCTCCTTTCCGCCGGGCATTGGTGGCACACAACTTTAATCCCAGCACTCGAGAGGCAGAGGCTGGCGGGTCTCTGGTTACAAAGGGAGTGTGGTTCTGTCAACATCCTGACTTAGGACTTTTTGCCATCAGAATTGTGAGAAAAGGGCTGGAGAGATGGCTCAGAGGTTAAGAGCACTGACTGCTCTTCCAGAGGTCCTGAGTTCAACTCCCAGAAACCACATGGTGGCTCACAACCATCCGTTATGAGATCTGGTGCCTTCTTCTGGTGTGCAGATATACATGGAAGCAGAATGTTGTATACATAATAAATAAATAAATAAATAAATAAAATCTTAAAAAAAAGAACTGTGAGAAAATAAATTACTGTTGTTTAAGGCACAGTTTATTTGATATTTTGTTACAGCACTTCCTAGGATTATAATATAAAGTCTCATATCTTTATATAGAATATCCCGATATAGAGTCCTGATATCCTCATATCTCGACATAGAGTGAACTGTGACACATCCACACTGTGAAGCATAATATAAGGGAATCTTAAAGACATTGTGCTGAATGAAAGAAGTCACTCTTGAGAGACCACATCTGTGTGGTTTCATTTATATGGCGTTCAGTACAAAGGAAATCTACAGGGAAGGAAAACAGATCAGCATTTGCCAGAGGTTAGCTTCTATTGACTATGGAGAAGAATGATGGAAATTTTTGAGGCATGTAACTGCTTGGTAGCTCGGTTACATTAGTGGTTTTATCTAGATCTATGCATGTGTTACAAATTCTAGCATAGTATTTTCCCAAAGAATTTATTTCATGGAATATTAAAGATTCCTTTTATTTTATTTTATTTTTGGTTTTTCAAGACAGGGTTTCTCTGCAGCTTTGGAGGTTGTCCCGGAACTCCCTATGTAAACCAGAGACCCACCTGCCTCTGCCTCCTGAGTGCTGGGATTAAAGGCGTGTGCCACCAAAGCCCTGTGGAATATTAAAGATTCCAACACACACACACACACACACACACACACACACACACACACAAAACATTTTCTTTTCAACATGTAAAGAAATTTCCCACCTTGGTTTCTGCAAGAAAGGTTATTTGATGGGGATTCTGCCACATCAGCCCTGATGTTCTGTGGACCTGTTCTTTTTTTTTTCCACTCATAAAAAGAAACAATCTGTCTAAAGTAGTGATTCATTTGATGAACCCTCCCACCATGTATTTCCTTTGTAGCAGCAGGGATCAGGCAGGTCTGAACGGAAAGGGCTTTCAGATTTCATTGGTCTCTGGACCCATAGGTTGTATTTAACCTGAACAGTCTTTGTCATTTTGTGTCTGTCTAAAATCCTCTTAAGGACAATGGCTGGACCTGAGTCAGAGCCTCAGGTATCTAGAACGTTGTAACAACTTTGGATTCTAGGACCTACTTGTGGGACTCATTCATGCATCCCTTTGGTAAGTGCTCCACCCAGATCCAGTAACCAGCAAGACCTAGGCTTGGCTGGGGGATGGGGAAGGTGCATTCAACACAGTGAAACCTCTAGAAAGGTTCCATATCTAGGTCCCTTCTCTGGTTGGGTCTGACAAGGCCTTAAACCAGTTTCTACACACTGGATGATTTTGTTTTGGCTTTTCAAGACGGTGTTTCTCCGTGTAGCAGCACTGGCTGGCCTTGAACTCACTGAGATCTATCAGGCGTGAGTCACCACACGAGGCCATGGATGATTGATTGATTGATTGATTGATTTTATTTGGAGGAGTATTTTGTAAACGAAGAAGAGTTGCAGAGTCAGAGAAAGGACATGAGACGCATGCTCACTGCTCTGTACTCTCGGCTGAAACCTTGCTGGTGCCAGCTTGGACTAAAGGGTTTTGTCTTCAGAAGGACTCTCTGACAGAAGGTCTGCAGTGTTTTGATGGAAAACTGAGGCTCAGAGAGACCCCCAAATGGCAATAGAAGGAGGTGTTGCTGTTGACAGGACTGAGAAACGGTCAGCAATTCCAGCCTTTCAAGATGTGCTGGCTAGATTTATGCCAACTTGACACAAACTTAGTCATCTGAGAGGAGGGAACCTCAACTGAGAAAATGCCTCCATAAGACTGGGCTATGGGCTAGCCTGCAGAGCGTTTTCTTAATCACTGATTTATAGGGGAGGGTCCAGCCCATTGTGGATGGTACCACCCCTGGACTGTTGGTCCTGAGTTCTATAGACGGATCAAGACATGGGGAGCAAGTCAGCAAGCTACACTATTCCATGGCCTCTGCATTATTCTTGTCATATTTGAGTTCCTGCCCTGACTTCCTTCAGTGATGGACTACAGTGTGGAAGTGTAAGCCCAATAAACCCTTTCCTCCCCAACTTTTTTTTTGGTCATGGTGTTTAGTTGCAGCAATAGAAACCCTAAGTAAGACACAAGTCATGGCCCACAAAAGGAACCTGAGGCCCAGTGTCAGGTGAGCTCATTCTCAGTACATAATCTGGAAAGAAACTACTGTCCCTTTGGGAGGCTGCTGAGGGGTATCCAAGGACCTCTTGAGGCTCTGATGTTTAATACATTACTCAAACACAAACAACATTACTTAAACAAACTCAAAATGATATCAACAAATGCATACATTCAATCTACAAAATGAGAGTTGGGTTACCAGAGTTAACATAGACAGAGATGGCCTGAGATTCTGAGGCCTCCCAGAGCCTGATGTGAAGGCTTGGAAGCCATTTTTTCAGTAGGTTCTTACTTACCTGAGATGTAGTGATGTCAAAGGCTCTGAGCTTGAGTTAGAGTAGGAAGGGAATTTATTTGCAGGGCAGTCAAGCCAGGCAACGCTAAGGGTCCCAAGTCTTCTTACCAAGTCCATGGTGAGATTGGCAGGTTTGTTTAAAGATGACCAGCACCTGCCCTTCAGGCCCCGCTCTCCCACATTTCTACCTCACAGATTCAAGCCCCACTCTCCCACATTTCTACCTTACAGATTCAGTCCACTATCATCTCCTATGTCCCTTCTCCCCACCCCCATCTCAACCCACTCCCTTGCCCCATTTTCTACCTTCACATATTCCTACTTCATAATTCCAACTCTCTCCTCCCCCCACCTTCCATTACCTCCACACACTCCTACCTCATAATCCAAACTTCAACTCTCCCATATTCCATTAACTCCACACACTCCTACCTCATAATCCAACCTTTTCTTCTCCCCACCTTCTCTACCTCCCCACCTCGGCATACCCTAATCTCAAAATCCCAGCCCTCTTCTCTCACTCCCCCATATCCTTACCTCACACACATCACCTCCCCCATTTCCATCTTTCTGAATCCTGCCTGACATCTACACCCTCCCAGACACACCTTCCTCCATCCCCTGCCTCTGGACCTCACACCGATGTCCACATCTTTCCCCACCCCCTGACTTCTCTCTTGTCTGCTCCCAGCCCTCCCTTCTGCCAGATCCCAGTCACCTGACCTGTCCCTTAAGAGGTAAGAAACATGTCACCATGTTACATTTACTGAATTTTATTCTTTGAAGATAAGACTTAGAAACAATTCATCATTTTACATTTAACTTTATTTGAAGATATGACAATTAAAAATCCCAATCCCTTCTCTCCCTTTTCCCCCCATCCACAGGCCTCTTCTTCTTTTTTGTTTTTGTAACCAACCAAAGGTCCAAGGTCATTCTTTTAGCTTGATGTAGGAGCCAATGCAGATGTCAGGGGAGGGGTGGGTGGCTCACATTGCCTCCATTATTTGGGCCTCCCTTTCGTAGATGTTAGGGATCAGACCCATAGGAGAGTTGATCATGTGGACAGTATTCTTACTAAATAGCTTGAACTCGTAATGAATAAGTTGCTCCCAAAAGCCGTTGTTGGGACGGATGACGGGACGGCAGGACTTGGTCCAAGTATGTGCATCCAGCAGGGTCATGGTGTGGTATTTCATGAGATAGGCAAGGCAGAGGGCTGCCGATCGGCTCACTCCTGCGGCACAGTGCACCAGTGTGCGGCCATTCCTCATTTCGACGCCGTGGATGTGATCAGCTATGGGGTCGAAAAAGTCATAGAGGTAGGAATTGGGAGCATCGCTTACCGGCACTTGCACGTACTGAATGTCTTCAAAGAATGTGTTCACTACTTCTACCGAGGCGTTGATAACCGTGGTGATGTGGTTGTTGGACAGAGTGAGTTTGTCGTTAGCGACCAGAGCATTACTGATAAAAAGGCTGCTAGTTATTTGAGAGAGGCCATAAATATTATCATGTTGGATAGCCTGAGACGAAAGGAAACAAGATGCTGTTGTCATCAAGGCGTCAGGTCAGCTGTCTCTCTCCACTAGGTTCTAGGGCACCAGCCTCTGCAACTATAAGAAAGCCGCTGCTCTGCTGAAATCTCAGGCAGAGGTATGCGGTATTGCCGTCCAAGCACCAGTCTTTAACCTGTCTCCTCCTTCACTACCCAGGCGTCACAAAGGTCACCAATCTGTCTCTCTCCCCCAGTGCCCAGGCGTCACAATCCCCAAAGGCACAAGGCTCAGCTTTCTAGGGCAAAGGTAACTTTAGCTGCCCCCTAGCTAGGTGGTTACAGTCCACCAGCACCTCTTTCCCTCTTCCTCTCCCTTCTGGTTTTCTCTTTCCCCTTTAGTAAAGTCACCTAGAGTTTTGAAAGAAATGTTTATAAAGAGTTCCTGGTTCCTGGTTCCTGTTTCCTTCCTTCCTTCCTTCCTTCCTTCCTTCCTTCCTTCCTTCCTTCCTTCTTCCTCCCTCCCCTTCCTCCTCCCCTCCCTCCTCCCTCTCTCTCTCTTTTTGCAGTTGTTTGTATTTGAGACAAGCTCTCAACAAGCTTCCCCAGGGATTGGGAGTTCAGGCCTGCTGGCACAACCATGTCCAGTCCCCAATTCTTCTTCATAGTGTATAGTTGATTTTTTGAGACAGGGTCTCAGGTATTCCAAGCTGATCCTGAATTCATTATGTAGTCAGATGTTCTTGAACTTCTGTTCCTACTGCCTTTACTTACCTTCTGAGGATTGAGATTACAGGCTTAAACCCATTTACAGTTCTGGCGACTGAATCTAGGGATTCATGAATGCAAAACATGCCCAGCCTTAGTCATTTTTAAAAACACTTTGATTTTTTTGCCTTTGAAAATGTTCTATTACAACATATCTGATTTATGCTTTAGTTATTCTGCCACACTGAACATAACAACTATGGATGTTTCTATTTCATTAATGCTCAAGAACAGATATTATACTTTCCCTAGAGAGCCGTAGTTTCATAGTTGAAGTTGTAGCACCTTTGGCTCATGTGATGTGGTGATTGTTACAAAACTGCTGCAAGAATAGGGGTTGGCTGTGCTTGGTGGAGCTGCCATGCACTTGATTGTCAATTGTAAACACAGAATTTTGTTCTTGCTTACAAATACATTAGAGCAGGTTGTAAGGAAGCATGGCTAATAGATCTCTAGTGGTCAGTTGTGACTAATTCAGCTGTGGCACTGTTCAGCCACACACACCTCTCAGTTGATTTATCTCTGCTTTATTTTTAGTCCTGAAAACAGTAGCTCAAGTCATTTCATCTGCTTTCTTTAAAAGCACACCCGCACAAGTCATTTTGATTCTCACCAAGATGTCCTGTCAATAATTATTAAAACATTCTGGAAAAAGTTCATGTCACCTTATAGTTAGGCCAAAAATTTTAAAATTCTACCCCCGAGACTTGCATTTGCTTTCAGTTATAATTACCTTATAGTTTGACTGAAATTGTAAAGAATATCTTAAAACTAATTCATTGTTTCATAGACAATCCAGAGACAACTCATAGTCTTCATTTTCATTTTGTCATCATTAAAAAATATTTATTATTAGTCTGCATGTGTGCACGTGCGTGCGTGTGTATGTGCGTGTGTGTGTGTGTGTGTGTGTGTGTGTGTGTGTGTGTGTGTGTGTGTGTAAGGTCACACATGCCATAGTGTGCATGTGGAGATCAGGGGACACATTTGAGAGAAGCAGATCAAACTTAGGCCGCCAAGCTGGTACTACAAGTGCCTTTCCTCACTGAGCCATCTAACTTGCCTATCATCATGAAAAAAGATGAAACAGCTAATATCATCATAATGATCAAGGAAATGATAACCTCAGGATGCAACACAATTTTCCTTTCTTCAGATGTGCTAATCACATTTTTTTGGGGGGGGGTTTGAGACAGGGTTTCTCTGTGGCTTTAGAGGCTGTCCTGGAACTAGCTCTTGTAGACTAGGCTGGTCTCGAACTCACAAAGATCCGCCTGCCTTTGCCTCCTGAGTGCTGGGATTAAAGGAGTGCGCCACCAATGCCTGGCTAATCACATTTTTTATTTTACTTAAATTATTAGTTCCCACAAAATGAAGAAAATAAAATATAATGCAAATACTAAATAAATATGAGAACTGCTTTTTGGGATATCTCAATTTCACTAAAGTTATTTAAAAAGGATTACTCTAGGACAGGATGTATATGTATATTTATAACTCAGTGATTGAATATGTGCTTAAAATGCAGAAGGCCCTGAGTTCTATCCCTAGTGCCAAAAATAACAAAGAAAACAATAATAAAATAAAAAGGCTTATGTTGAGATACAGTGTATTCTATATAGTAATAGGAAGACCTGATAAAGCATTAGACTCCAATGATTTCAAAATTATGACTACTGAAACTTGTAAATGTAGCATAGTTTACCAACATAAATTCAGACCTGTTTTCCTTTTTTATTATCATTTTTTATTTGAATTAGAAACAAGATTGATTTACATGACAATCCCAGTTCCCTTCTCCCTCCCATCCTCCCCTACCACCCCACAACTAAACCCCTACCTATCACATACCCTTTCTTCTATTCTTCCCCTGACTCAACTTTTCTGCTCTCTCATGACCTCCGCATCCTTCTTTTCTTCCCTTCTCATTCTCCTAGCTCCCCCCTCTTCCCATGCTCTCAATTTGCTCAGGGGATCGTGACCCTTTCCCCTTCTCCAGGGGACAATGTTTGTCTCTCTTAGGGTCCTCCTTGTTTACTAGTTTCTCTGGCAGTGTGGATTGTAGGCTGGTAATCCTTTACGCTATGTCTAAAATTCACATATGAGTGAGTACATATCATGTTTGTCAGACCTGTTTACAAAAGACACTCGTGACCAGTATTAAACAAACTGTTATATTCTTTCAGCCGATATTCTGTCTTAGTTATTGCTCTATTGTTGTGAAGAGACCATGACCAAGGCAACTCTTTTTGTTTGTTTGTTTGTTTTTTTTAGACAGGGTTTCTCTGTGGCTTTGGAGGCTGTCCTGCAACTAGCTGTTGTAGACCAGGCTGGTCTCAAACTCATAGAGATCTGCCTGCCTCTGTCTCCCAAGTGCTGGGATTAAAGGCATGTGCCACCACCGCCCGGTGACAAGGCAACTCTTATAAGAGAAAGGCAACCTGCCAGCAAGAAGGTCATCACTAGATTTGGGCCTGTGAACTTGGACCTCTAGAGCCATGAGCTCAAATCAATCTCTTTTCTTTATAAGTTAGCAACTCATGCTATGGTATTCTGTTACCAGCAGCAGAAGATAGGTTAATTCAGTTAAGTGACATTATTTAAGTCTCTCTATTGCAAAGGGAATTTTTCTGCTTCATAATTAATATGGGAGAGGTTAGGTGCTACCATCTTTGCAGGACCATCTTCTGGATAGGATTTTATTTATCTTTTAAATACTAGTTTCGTATTTTTTTAAAGTTAATTATATTTGTTTGGTGTGGGCATGTGCACATGTGTGAAGGTGCTCTTGTAAGGTGTTGGATTTCCCTGGAGTTTGAATTATAGGCTGTTTTGAGTCAATCGATGTGGGTGCTGGGAACTGAATTTGAGTCCTTTGCAAAAGCAGCAAGTGCTCATAACTACCTAGTCATCTCCTAGGTCCTGGAGTCAAGACTTTGAAGGATGGCCAGTTTCCCAGTGGACAAGGAGGAGGAAAATATTTTCAATAGTAAGAGGAAAGTAAATAGGGCAGTGGTGCCTTTAATCCCAGAATTCAGGAAGCAGAGGCAAACAGATCTCTGAGTTCAAGGCCAGCCTGGTCTACAAAGTGAGTTTCAGGACAGGATCCAAAGCTACATAGAGAAACCCAGTCTCAAAAACAAAATAAAAACCAAAAAACAAAAAACCCACAAAAAAGCAACGTGGTCATTCACACTTTTGGGGCTAAAGAGATGGCTCAGTGGCTAAGAGAACTGGCTGTTCTAGAGGACCAGAGTTCAATTCCCAGTACCCACATGGCAGTTCATAATTTTCTGTAACTCCAAAGTCTGACACCCTCACACAGACATACATGCACACCAATGCACATAAACTAAAAATAAATAAATTATTTTAAAAAAGAAAGAGAAAAGCACAGGAAAAGGTACAAACATATAGAGTTGTATCAAGAGACACAGTGGTGTGGATGGAATATATGCTTTTTAAAAAAGATTCATCTATATTTTATGTGTATGAGTGTTTTGCTTATGTGTATGTCTGTGTACCGTGTGCATGTGGTGCCCTTGTAAGTTAGAAGAAGACTTCATATCTCCTGGGACTAGTTACTGACTGTTGTGACAACTTAGTGGATGCAGCTTCAGATCCTCTGCAAGAGAAGTGACTGCTCTTAATCACTAAGCCATCTCTCTAACTCAGTGTTGGAGTATTTTATACTGTGAAATGACATCATCAGAATGGACATCTAGTAAGTTCACCTATTGCTGTGTTGATGGATTTATGAAGGTTTGGAGCAAGGTAGAAAGCACTGTAATACTAGAAGAACAATTCTTGCAACAGCTTAGGCAAGTGAACAATGCTATATCTATTACAGACATTTTCTCTGCCACAGAAGCTGCCTATGTGTTTCAGTCTAAATGCATTTCATTTCAGATGTACACATGGACCAGGCTACTTAAGAGAATGGAATAACAGACGTCAGGCTTTGGAGTACTGGGTAGTCTAAAGGGAAGATAGTTAGGGTAAAAGGCTGAGGATATAGGACCACATGTTGAAGGATGAAGGAAGTGAGAAAACCTAAAGCAGAATGGGATCAGGATGCAGGAAGGCTATCTAACTTAAAGAATTGAACATTAGGTTACATGATAGACAACTAAGATGTGAGTTTCCTGGCAGAAGGTCCTGTGTCAATTTTGAGAGTTGGCCTCCCTGGTGTTGAGTGAGTTGTATTATTATATACAGCCGGGCAGCAAGGAAGCTTGCTCCTCTAAGGCTTGTTTCTGGACTGAGCCTGGTCCTTGGTTTATGGATAATGAGGGG